CCACGGACATTGGTGGCAGATGGTGCTCGGCGTGGTCATCTGCATCGGCGCCGTCGGCGCAGCCGTCGAGGTGCAGTGCCGACCACCTCCAATTCTTGCTGGCGACGCGTTTCGCACGTTGGGTGCCCTTCAGGGCCTGAAGCGGCTGCGGCAATCCCGCGCCCGTGGGGTGCAGCGCGCGGGCAAGGCAGCCAGAGGCCAAGACGACGAGGTCTGAAATCCCCGACTGCCCACCAGCCCTGCCCATACCAAGTGTGCCTGTGCCAACCGTACCAGTACAGCGTTCCTTGGGAGCCGAGCGTAGTGGCCCTGCGCGTAGCCTAGGCCTGGGCCCTTCTCTTAGCCATCGCTCGTGCCCACGTACCGCCCGGCGCATGGTTTGCCAGTCAATCAGTCGTGCGCCCGGGTAGATGTGGTTGCCACCGCCGCCTCCGTCGCGGCGCCCCTCGGCGGCCCTGGCTGCTCCTGCAGCCGGCGAAGGGTTGCGGCCTCCAGCGGGCATCGCGGTAAGGCTCAATGGCGCAGGCATGCGCTCCGCCATCGAACTCGGCCAGTAACAGCGCGCCAAGCGGCTTCATGTCGAGACGAATATGGTTGCCAGAGATGTTGAAGCCGCGCGAGACTCATGTCAGCCCGAGGCGAACAGATCCTCGTCGTGGTGCCACAAGGAACGCTGGATAAGGAACGGAGGGGCTTTGCTGGCCACGGCGAGCCTCGGCCACACATAGGTTACTCGACATGGATCTGAAGAACGGCCCGACATCCAAAACCCTCCTGAGCCCAAAGGGGTCCTCGTTTCAGCGTCTTGATTGTAGCGGTACAACGCCACGCTGTCAAGAACACGCCCGGGTCATGCACCGCAGCCCTTTTCGTCTTGCTACCGGCGTCCATCGTCGCAATCGTCGCCAATCTGCCTGCAGGACGGGTCACCACGATGGATGCCGTCCTGGCCACCAGCCGCGTCCCCGATCCCGCGGTCGCGGAGTCGCGGAGTTCGGGGGCGGCCAAGAGGGGACTGATGACTAGGAAAGGGGACGTCACTGCCGTGGCTACGTTACCTCCTCGGACTTCGTGTGCCCTCTTGTTATCCGTAAGGGCTTCGCCTGCCGCCGGCCCCCTCTCTCGGAGAATGGGCCATGGAAGAACTAAGTCATGAGGCTTTGGCGCTGTCGTGCAGCAGTATCGGAACTTCATGCGAGGCCGATTCGCAATCGGCAAAACCAACTGATCACAAGAGGGGTTACCACACAGGGCGATTGGTAAGACGTGTATGGTTTACGAGCTTGGTTACCACACCTTGGGATTAAAGGGCCGAGGGAGTACTCGCAGTTTGGGTTACCACGCCTTGCGATTGATGTGCGTGAGGGGTGGCACCGAATTTCAGAAATGTGGCAAATCCCCTGTGTTTTTGGACCCTGACCCCGCGGATCTGCGTGAGGGGTGGCACCGAATTTCAGAAATGTGGCAAATCCCCTGTGTTTTTGGACCCTGACCCCGCGGATCTGCGTGAGGGGTGGCACCGAATTTCAGAAATGTGGCAAATCCCCTGTGTTTTTGGACCCTGACCCCGCGGATCTGCGTGAGGGGTGGCACCGAATTTCAGAAATGTGGCAAATCCCTTGTGTTTTTGGACCCTGACCCCGCGGATCTGCATGAGGGGTGGCACCGAATTTCAGAAATGTGGCAAATCCCTTGTGTTTTTGGACCCTGACCCCGCGGATCTGCGTGAGGGGTGGCACCGAATTTCAGAAATGTGGCAAATCCCCAGTGTTTTTGGACCCTGACCCCGCGGATCTGCGTGAGGGGTGGCACCGAATTTCAGAAATGTGGCAAATCCCCAGTGTTTTTGGACCCTGACCCCGCGGATCTGCGTGAGGGGTGTCGATTTCGAGCCCCCCCAGCAATTCAGACAACGCGCCCAGGGGGTGCTATAAATCCCGTTTGGGCCTCCCCCCGCCTCGCGCGGTCAATCAACTAGTTACAGTAACCAGCAAGAAGCAGACATGTAACACTGGAAACTACAAGCTACAACTGGTACAGGAAACTGCGAATCACGGTCCTACAGCCTGGTGGCCCCACAAGGGGGCCGGCGGATATTTCAACACGTCCCTTGGCCCCTCCCCTCGCCTGGGCCGCGTCCTGGCCTCTCGAGCCATGATTTGCACCCCCCCGTGCGGCACGCCCCCCTCTTGGACGCGGGGGGAATGTGGGGACGAGGGCTCGGAGGCGGCGCCCACAAGGGGCGCTTGCCGTCGGCCTTGCCGCCTCCCCGCAGCTTCCTCGGGCGGTAAACAAAGTCACGACGGCGAGGTCGGCGGGGTTTGGTGGTGTCGGAAGTTTCGGCATGGTCCCCGAGCGCGACGATACAGCCCATCGTCAGCTATAGCCCTGCTCTGCGGGACGAGCGCCACCCCCTCGCCCCTCCCCCCCTTCCCATTGCTCCTCCTCCTCCCTCTACCCCCTTTCCCCCATTCCCCTTTCGCCCTCTCACCCTCTCTTGCGTTACCGGGAGCCTCCAACCGTCGGAGGTCGATCCTCGAACCTCGATCCTCGATCCTCGATGCCCTCAGTCTGGGGGTCTCGATCCTCGATCCTCGAGTTTTTGCTCTCGAGCCAGATGAGCAAGAGTTTAAGGTCCTGATCTGTTCTAGGATCTGCAAGGCTTCCCATACTTTTCAAGATCTTCTAGTGATCGACGCGGGTTGCAGAAACGAGGGCCGCTAGATACCCAGGAGTTCCTGGAGCATTTGCGGTCTGCAGCTCTTGGATAGCGTGTCGCTCCGAAGGTTCTGGTCCACCGCGCTTCGGTGCGACACCCTATCCACATCCCGGCCCCCCAGCGTCAATGTCCCGAGTTTTTCCGAGCCTCCCGCCCAGCAGAGCGGAGCCACACGTTATCCACCCACTCGGCGTAGCGTGCCGCCAGGGCCGCCGCCGCCGCGACACGCTAAGCAGCACTTTCCGACTGCATATCCCGAGTCAACCGGTTCATGCCATCAGTCGTGTCCTATCGAGCCTCGATCCTCCCTCGGACGCTGGCTCAGCCAAGACGCCGCGATGTGCGCGCCGGGCGCCGACCTGGTCGACTTCCTGCCCTCCCCACCGCGCGCGGCGCGCTCCCCTCCGTCGGCGGGCTCGCCCGTACTCCTGGCGGGCGAAGCCGCAGGGGTGGCGAGGGTCGCTCCCGCCCTGGAGCGAAGAGGGGTGGGTCCTCCTCCTCCCTCCTCCCTCCTCCTCCTCCACCTCCTCCTCCTCCTCCTTCTGCTCCTGCTCCTCCTCCTCCTCTTCCTGCTCCTCCTTTTCTCGTGGGGGGTGCGCAGCCACGTTGGCTCAAGGCGCAAGTATCCCCCGTGGACGACGTGGACACCGCTGATCCGCGGTCAGTTTCTGATGCTTCGCACGGCTTTCCCCAGGGCGAAGCCTAATCTTCAGCAGGGCTAGCTCGGTGAGTTCTGTGTTGCGTACTTCACGTACGGTTGGGTTGGTTGGAGAGCTCAATGGAACATTTCGTGCAGGTCGGTTTCATGGATGTCGTGGAGTGCGTGGCCCAAGTCCCGACGCGCCCGCAAAGGTTGCGGCAACGAGAGTTGGGAGCGGATCAAAGGAGCCAGCCGATAAATACCTAAAAGAGCTGATCCGAGCTCTCCAGGCTGCTGCACCCTACTATGCCCAAGCCATGGCCACTATCAGGTTGGACCTTCCCCCCGCGTCGCCAAACATTGAGCCGCCGCGCAAGGTGTGCAACAGGGTGGAGGCAGCGGAGCGGAGGGCTAAGGCGACTCTGGAGAAGTCAGCAGAGTGAGCGGTAGGCGCTTGAGTGGTACAGTGAGTGCTGGAGGGCGCCTACCAGTGTCCACTGGCTCAGGCCGAGGCAGAGAAGGCATTCCAACAGTGCTGGAGTGCGCGGGGCGTGGCCTGCGCCGAGTAAGGGGGGCGAGCATATGCCTGCCCCTTCCAGATCCCCCAGCAGCGTTCAATTTTGCGAGGCCGCTCGGTGGTGGGGGCTTGACATTCGAGGTCGGCGCGGCCCTCTCGACGGACGGCTTGTCGTTTGACTAGCGGTACAAGAAGGCGCTTGGTGATCTCCAGTCGAAGTTCGCGGCGGAGCTCCAGGGCAAGGTCAGGGAGCTCGTCGGCGAGACGGCCAGCAAGCTGGCGCAGCTTCGCGTGGATGCAGATGCTATGCGGAAGCGGCTCGGCTCTGAGCGGCAGCGCACGGTGAAGGAGCAGCCTGGCGCCCAAGCTTCAGCTGCGCAGCCTACGCCAGGAACAAGCAGCCAGGCGACCTCAACCATCTGTGGCAGTCACGGGTCCACCCCAGCGGCGCTGACGGAGCCACCGCCAGAAAAACGGACATGGCCAGGGCGGCTGCAGCAGCTGTGGACCATGGCGCCGCCCCTGCTGATGACCAGACTGCTTGTGGCGCCAAGGTGCCCGAGGACCCTGCGCACCGCCTCCGACAGACAGCGTGAGGCAAGACATGTGCCCAACTGCGCCAGGCTTGGCGGCGAACCAGGCTGCCAGCAAGGCAGAGCGAGGGGGGGGCGATCAAAGTGCGTGCGAGTCGGCTGTTCCGCGGAGCGCTGAAGAATTGGCAGTCGTCTGCGTGAGACTTCTCTAGTTGCGAGCGAGGCCCCCCTCAGTAACCAAAGTTCTGGGACTAACGTGGTGGGCCTGCCGACATGGGGTTCAGCGTGGCGGCTCGACGTCAACCTGCGGCAGGTCTGTTCGATGGCGCACCTCGTCGGGTTCCTCGGTCTGGGGCGCGTGTCACATCGGCTTCGGCATCGGGGGCGGCCGAGAAGAAGGGGGGGGCCCTTTGGTGAGCCCTCCCTCGAGGCGCCCCTCCTCCAAGGTTTGGGCGGTGCTCCTGGCGGGGGCCCGTCATCGGGCAGGGGCGCGGCTGCCGCGCCCCCGGGCCATGCCCCCCGCGAGCCCCTCCGCTCTCGGGGCGTGGTCGGGGGCGACGACGGGGGGCTGCGAGGAGGCGTCGGCGGCCCATGTCCATCGGGTTCAGGTTCGTCTTCGGGCCACCGCGGCGCCGACCCACGGGGGTCCGAGCGCGGCGAGCCACGTGGCTCCCGCACCCACCGCCCCTCCCGAAATCACTCCGCCCTGGGGGCGTCGAGGAGAGGCCGCGGCGGGGGGCTGCGAGGGGGCGTCGGCGGCTCATGTCCATGTGGTGCCCTTCGTCGACAAGCCACAGCAGCGTTGACCTGGTGGGGTCAGGGCGCGGCGAGCCAGACGCGCGCAATGGTTTCGGCGGCTTCCAGTTCGCCGTCAGGAATTGGGGGCGACCTCGGATATGTTTCAAGCGTCGCCACCGGGCAGGCCGCGCCGAGGGCTTGGAAAGGGCAGCTCGCCCCCAGGATTCAGAAGTCTGGGGCCCGCCCAGCCATTGTCTGGGATGTCGGGGTCTGTCTTCTCCCCGCTGGCGCCCGATGCGGCCGCGAACAACAATGGCCATGACCAGCAATCGCAGGCTGTGCAGGGGGCCTGGTCAAGACTTCCACGTTCAATTCGAATTCGCTGAGAGCCTGTTAGTATGTCGCGGCATGGCTAAGCCTGGGTCGACAGCTCCGGCCGCCTGCGACGTCGCGAGGCAAGATACGAAGCTTCGGCTAGCCAAGCAGAGCTCACCTCAGACTTGGGCCAAGGCCGCGGGCAACGCTGTGGCAGGCGGCACCGCGGAGGACGCGGGCGAAGGCGCGCTCGAGCGCTCGGGGGGGGGGGGGGGGGGGCGGGTGCGACGTTCGGCTCGGCGCAGTGGGAGGTCCGCTGCGCGGGCGCCGCAGGCCCCGCTCGGTCCGAGAGTCCTGCTCTCGCTCTGTCTCGCCGCAGGACGAGGCTTCGGAGCGCGAGGCCTGGCGCTGCCTGGCAAGACGTCGCGATGTCCTCTCAATGGCCGGTCGCTATGGAAAGAGATTAGAACATGCTGCCGCAGGACGTGATAGACAGGCTCGGTGGATCCCGCCGGGCTGCAGGTGGCGCCCCCCCCCGGGGGCCCGCGCGTCAGGGCTGCGTGCTGGATTTTGTATCGTCGCTGGCCTGTGTTTGGTGGCTCACATCTCCTCGCTCGCGTCGGTGGTGAACGCGCCTCAGGACCCTTGCTCGGCTGCGCGCGTGCAGCTTAAAGGCCTTTCCTGAGATGCGAGGGCCCGGCGGCGAGTGGCGCCCGCGGGTTTCCCGCCGAAGGCCGCGCGGCAGGGCCAGGGGGGAGGGCGCCCTCCCAGGCCGCCGCCCCTTGCGCCTGCCATCGATCGGGAGTGGGGGGAGGGGCGGGGCGGGGCGGGGAGCGGGGGGGGGGGTCCCCGGCCGAGCTGCGGCCGAGTTGTTCGAGGCAGTTGAGATTGTTTTTGGCGCGCGGCGCATGGCATCGCTGCTCTGGGAGATGTGCGAAATCATTCGGGTCGTAGCTGGCGGCGTTTCGTGGCCTCGTGGGGCCGCGAGCTTCGCCGCGAGCGTCGGCGACCAACTTGGCCTGGCCTCGCCGAGCGCGTTCCACTGCTCGCAAAGTGCTTATTCGCAAACGTCCTAAAAACACATGTCTGCTTTGACGTAATTTCCCCTTGATCCTCCGCGGGGGATCCAGGCCATTTGCGAGTGGCCACTTTGCGAGTAGTGGAGCGCGCTCGTCTAGGGCTGTCGTTCCGAAGGGTCGTCTTTCAGCTGTTGTCTTCGACAGTTGTGAGGGTGTCAGCAGTGCAGGGCCTGGGTGCAGGAGCGCGCCGCTGGTCGCATCTGAGGCCGACGCCTTCCCCCCCCTCGCTGAGGGCCTTATCCTGAGCTCCAAGAAGGCGTCGGAGGTGCTGGGGGTTGTCGAGACCGCGAGATTCTGACCCGGGTCCTTGCTTGTATCTCGGATGCGCGCTGGGCCGGGCTGCGCGCCGATGCCAAGGCGTCTCGTTGGTCGCGGGTTGATGTCTGCTAGCAAGCCGCGCCCAGGGAAGGCAAGGTTGCCTGCGGATTCAGCAAGGGCCCGACTGGCCTTGTCGCGCCGATTTTTTGCGATGGCGAGGGAGAAGACGGGGGGGCGCTTCTGGCTGGATGGCAGACCCTTGAGCACATATTCGAGAAATGGCGAGAGATCCGGCGCAAGGAAGCTCCAACCTCGGAGCTCCGCCGTCGGTTCTGGGGCGCGCCGACAGTCCTCGCCCCCGTCGCGGCGTAGCAGGTGCGTAGCGTCTGCCAGTATTTCGCGGGGCGTCCCCCCCCCCTTTCCCCGGGCGCGTGGCCCTGTTCCCCTTGGGATCTCCTGGCGATTTTCCGACGTCTTGAGCGGGTGGGGGTCCGGGCCAGACGCGGACGGGCTTCGGCTGGCGCCGATCGTTTTCCGGGAGAGAGCTGCGGGGGGGGGGCGAGGTCTGGGCAAATCGGCCTCCATCTTCTGTGGGCCGCTCTCGGCGGTGCAAGGTTTTCCAGGGCCAGGATTGCTCGTCTACGTGCAACAAGAGTACGTGGGTCCACAGCGCGCTGAGCTCTCATGATCGGCTGAAAAGCCTTGCTGCGGCCTCGGCCTTTCTGGGCTTCAGGAGATATGGCAAACGTTTCAGCCGCCAGATGATTTCAGCGGCCTCCGAGGCTTGTGGGCCCCCGCCCCGCGCGCAGTCTGTGCTGCCCATGCAGAGCGCGGCGCAGAGCTGTGTTCCGAGGCATCGCGGGTGCCGCAATGTTAGTTGTTTTCGTTGCGATCGCAGGGTGCTCGTGCGCGACGGTGTTGCTACGGCGCGTGCGCGTTGGCCCCGGCGTCGAGCAATAATCCCGTGGTCACCCGTCGTAGCGTGATTGATGACGTATCTTTCCAGGCTGCCGGTGGACCAGCGACGGTCGAGACCCAGCTGGCACGTGCTGTCTCCGTTGTAGCCGACGATGTTCAGAGAAGGGGCTTGCTAATAGTGGAACAAGGCTGGTTGGCTGGCCGCTAGCAATTGTTTGGCTTCTGCCATAGGTTCCTTGTTCCCGCTGGGCCTTGGGGTTCGGTTGAAGGTCCAGGGAGGCGTGGGGGGTGGCGCGGGGTTCGAAACGGTAGTGACCCCCTCCCCGGTTTTCCAGGGGGTGGGTGGGGGGGGTTCGAGCCGGCAGTGCCCCCCCCCAGGTTTTCCGGAGGTGGGTGTGGGGGGGTTTGCCGGGGGGAACGGGAGGGGGGCGGGGGGTCCAGCAGGGGGGGGATTTTCGAGAGGGGGGGCCGGGTTCTGGATGAGGAGGGGGGGACATTTTCCACAGTATAGCGGCGGTGGATCACGCTCTCCCATATTTGAAGCTCTTGCGCACTTTTAGGGCGCACGTTCGCGGCGCCATGGCGGGAATCACATTTTGAAAACGACCCACCTTCCATGAATAATTGTGTTGCGACTATAAAGTTTCAGGGTCATGCGTGGTGAGGATGCCCCAAGCGAAACGCCGTGCCCGTAGTATTGACACGCTTAGGTGTGCGACAGGGCGGAGCTACTTATATGGAAAAGGGGATGAATGATGATGATGATGATGATGATGATGATGATGATGATGATGATGAGGATGAGGGTGAGGAGGAGGAGGAGGAGCATCACGAGGGCCAGTGCAAACTCACGACTCATCCATGATGTTGCAATAAACCCTCCCACCATGTTTTTTTATTGGGTGAAAGTGCCCCGTTGGATCTTGAACCGCGCCAGAAAACTATTCGGGGGACTTCAGCGCAGCGAATCAACATTGTTGTTGCGTCCTAACGTTCGTGATTCGTGCCCAAACACCACTCCTGGGATTTCAACACCTTGAATCAACGTAATATTTCCCCTTGACAATCCTACCTCGTGCCGGGTCGTTTGAAGACGTCACCGTTACAATCCTTGAAACGGTTGTCAACTCTTCAGACGGATGCGCGCGGCGCTTAGGCGAGAGCCACATGTTGAAAAGGCTTTGCCGTCCACCCGTGAAACTTTTCAACAGAAAAGGCACGGGGCGCTAATATATGAGCAACATCTCGCAAAACTACCCGCCGTCCAACCGTGAACATGTTGCAAGCTTTTGAGACAAAAGTGCTCGGCGCTGATGCGAGATCCACCTTCTGGACAGGAACTGCCTTCCGTCCTTGAAGCGGTAGCCTATTTTTTAGTCGAATGTGCGCGGCGGACAATCGAGAGCCACATCTTGAAGAAACACCCGCCGTCCATTGGTAAAACTCGTGCGAATTGTATGACGCATGTGCGCGGCGCTAATGGGAAAACCACACATTGAAAACCACCCACCGTCCATCCGTGAAAGTGTTGCGGACTTTGAAGGCGAATGCGCGCGGCGTTCAGGCGAGATCCACATTTGAAAAATGACCTGCCCTCCATCCGTGAAGCTTGTTGCAAGTTTTCCCAGCTGAAGTATCATACGTGGTGGGGAAGTCTCAGGCGAAACGCCCTGCCCGCCCGATCGACGCGTCTCGAGGTGCGACAGGGAGAAGCTATTTATCGAAGACGCCTACGGCGAGTCACCGCCGCCCCTTGTTTTTTTGGAAGGTCCCATGTGGCCGAACGTTGGGCTAAGGCTATCGGACCATGCGTTTTCCTTTAGCTGGCGTTGAAACCTTTCGGGGGGCGCGTGAGGAAGAGGAGAGCAAGCAGAACAAGTAAAAGGCAGTATGCGGAGGAGGAGGAGGAGGAAGAGGAGGAGGAGAAAGAGGAAAATGAGGATAAGCAGGAGGAGGACGCATCTTGGAAGCCTTTTGGGGCACTCTTGGGGTCTCCTGGGAGCTTCCATTGGGCCTCTTGGAGGTCTCTTGGGGACCTCCTTGGGCCTCTTGCGAGCCTTTGGGGGCTTGTTCAGGACCGCTTCGGCCGTCTTCGCGTGTTCCTGGCCCGTTTGACGCCGTCAAACGCCGTCTCGGATGCCTCTCTGAACCGACTTGGGGCCCTCTTTGTGGCGCTTCAGGGCCGTCTTGGAGGCCACCTTGGGCGTCTTGGAGGTCTCTTGGGCCGTCTTGGGGCCCTCTTGGGGCCGTCTTGGAGGCCTTTTAGGTCGTTATCGGGCCATCTGGGAGGCCTTTGGGGTCACCTTGGGGCGATCTTGGAGGCTTCTTGGGCCGCCTTGGGCCGCCGGGAGGCCGAAAAAAGGAAACTCTAGATTCCTTCACAAACCTCGGGTAAATTTATGATTGTGGCCTCTTCGGGCCCTCCTGGAGGACCCCTTGGGTGTTTTTGGAGCTGTCTTCAAGGCCTCTTGGGGGACTCTTGGGCCGTTTTGGGCCGTCCATAAGGCTTCTTGGGCGGACTTGGAGGTCAGAGTGAGGGGGCTGAACCGAACGGTCATTCACTGTCTCTGGGTGCGTGGCTGAAGTGGAATTCTGCGATGCGGATTCTTGTTGTTATTGTTGTTGTTGCTGCTGCTGCTGCTGCTGCTGTTGTTGTTGTTGTTGTTGTTGTTGTTGTTGTTGTTGTTGAACTCTAATTACTGAAGAATAATTATTGTTGATCCCCCCCCTCCAGCGGACATTGTATTTTTTCAATTGAAGTGCCCCTTCCGGGGCTCGCACCCTGTTTTTTATCAGGGAAAGTCGTGGGCATCAAACTGCGTTGTTGGCCCCCCGGACAACAACAACAACGGCTCCCGCTTGATACTTCCTCCAAATTTACTCAGGACCCCCGCCCCCGCCTGGGACTTCCTCGCAGTTTACTCAGGCGGAGGCGCTCCCGCCTGAGACTTCCTCGCAAATTACTCCGGACCCCCGCCCCCGCCTGGGA